CAAAATTGAATTTTACCGCTACACTAGGTTAAATTGATCAGCCCCAGAGATGAAGATGATGAATAAATACGCTGATCCTTTCAAAGCAATGATCCGAGTTGTAGTTAGGCTTGTGGCTTACATTTAAGAGAATCTTGACCTACCCTATTATTTTAGTGTTGATTACCTGTTTTAGCAATAGAGAGATAACTTTCGATTTGTCCATGAATTATAACTTTTCAAAGGAAATTAAGAAGAAAAAAATAGTTAAGTTTAAAAAGTATGCTTTAGCAGAGTTATATTTATTTTTAAAATCTCTATCTCTTTCTCTCTCTCTCTCCCCCCTCTCTCTCTCTCTCTTTCTCTCTCTCTCTCTCTCTCTCTCTCTTATTCTCTATCTCTGTCTCTCTCTATCTCTCTGTCTTTCTCTCTCTCTCTGTCTTTCTGTCCTTGCTCTCTCTCTCTCTCTCTCATTCTCTCTCATTCTCTCTCTCATTCTCTCTCTCATTCTCTCTCTCTCTCTCTCATACACACACCTGCACACACACACATATATAATATATGTATATATATTATACATATATTATTGCATGGCCAAGTCATTAGGATTTATTTTTATTGAAGAAACCTAAATGAAACCCCATTAAGATATATTTAAAAATACCAGACTTAGAGCCGTTTTATAAAAATTTAATACTATATCTCAGTTCTAAAATATAGCTGTTTCCTTAAGTAGTCAACCCTGAGCTTAACCAGCATCAATCGCACGCTAACAGTTCCCATATCAAAACCGAAATGTGGACCTCAAAGTTTCGAAAGGAAATTTTTTATTTAAAATTGAAAATGACACATCGTAAACTTTAATATAAAAATCCAATACAAATTTTAGAGATGGCCCAATAAAAACTGATTAGTGTATGCTGACGCTACAGTAGTGTTAGTTATTGTTTAAGTTAAGGCCCTGTATCTTAGAACGCAAAATAGTTAATATTGAGTTTTAGTTTAGAGGCCCTGTCAAAAGCTGTTTGCTAAATGAAAAATTTAAAATTTGATATTCGTCCCATCAAAATTGTTGATAAAAATCATCACTACCATTGTCGTCATTGCTGGTGGACCGCGCCTGCTTTAGTTAACCCTTAAACTAGAACCCTGTCAATCACAAGTTAATGAAACAATCTAAATCCTAAAAGTCGCTTTTTTTTTAAAAGTTTGACCAAGTCGGTTTGATTATTTAAGGAATATACCCCCCACTAAATATAATTATATTTACATGATCGTTATTCCGTCGGAAGTCAAACATGACCATTTTAAACATCGGCTTGTTGCAACTCCAGGCACTGGGTTAACGCGGGCTTTTCTGGCTTGTCTTTTCTGTTCGGCATCAGCGGTTCTATTAGCTTCTTGTTGCATTAAGACCTTGCATATGAAAGAGCGCAAAGAGTCTCATTTTTTTAGGACTGTTCCCACATTTCGATAGGTCAATGGAGAATGCTTTCAAAGATGCTTTAAGTGTGCATTTTAAGAGTTTCTTCTGTCCTTCGGTTAACCGCCTGTCTTAAAATATTCTTTTGGCCAATCGATCGTCTGACCTTTTAGCAGCATGGACTGCTCAGCGAATTTAGGACTGCATTAATAAGGTATGCATGCTGGAGATACCTGCTTGTGCGAGTACCTCAGTGTCTTGGATCTTGTCCTGCCAGATGTGCTTGTGCGAGTACCTCAGTATCTTGGATATTGTCCTACCAGATTTGCTTGTGCGAGTACCTCAGTATCTTGGATCTTGTCCTGCCAGATCTGCTTGTGCGAGTACCTCAGTATCTTGGATATTGTCCTACCAGATCTGCTTGTGCGAGTACCTCAGTATCTTGGATCTTGTCCTGCCAGATGTGCTTGTGCGAGTACCTCAGTATCTTGGATATTGTCCTGCCAGATTTGCTTGTGCGAGTACCTCAGTATCTTGGATCTTGTCCTGCCAGATGTGCTTGTGCTAGTACCTCAGTGTCTTGGATCTTGTCCTACCAGATCTGCTTGTGCGAGTACCCCAGTTTCTTGGATCTTGTCCTACCTGATCTGCTTGTGCGAGTACCCCTGTGTCTTGGATCTTGTCCTACCAGATCTGCTTGTGCGAGTACCCCAGTGTCTTGGATCTTGTCCTACCAGATCTGCTTGTGCGAGTAACCCAGTGTCTTGGATCTTGTCCTTCCAGATCTGCTTGTGCGAGTACCTCAGTATCTTGGATCTTGTCCTACCAGATCTGCTTGTGCGAGTACCCCAGTGTCTTGGATCTTGTCCTACCAGATCTGCTTGTGCGAGTACCCCAGTATCTTGGATCTTGTCCTGCCAGATTTGCTTGTGCGAGTACCTCAGTATCTTGGATCTTGTCCTACCAGATCTGCTTGTGCGAGGACCTCAGTATCTTAAGTACCTCAGTATCTTGGATCTTGTCCTACCAGATCTGCTTGTGCGAGTACCCCAGTGTCTTGGATCTTGTCCTACCAGATCTGCTTGTGCGAGTACCCCAGTGTCTTGGATCTTGTCCTACCAGATTTGCTTGTGCGAGTACCTCAGTATCTTGGATCTTGTCCTACCAGATCTGCTTGTGCGAGTACCTCAGTATCTTGGATCTTGTCCTGCCAGATTTGCTTGTGCGAGTACCTCAGTATCTTGGATCTTGTCCTGCCAGATCTGCTTGTGCGAGTACCTCAGTATCTTGGATCTTGTCCTGCCAGATCTGCTTGTGCGAGTACCTCAGTATCTTGGATCTTGTCCTGCCAGATTTGCTTGTGCGAGTACCTCAGTATCTTGGATCTTGTCCTGCCAGATGTGCTTGTGCGAGTACCTCAGTATCTTGGATATTGTCCTGCCAGATGTGCTTGTGCGAGTACCTCAGTATCTTGGATATTGTCCTACCAGATTTGCTTGTGCGAGTACCTCAGTATCTTGGATCTTGTCCTGCCAGATTTGCTTGTGCGAGTACCTCAGTATCTTGGATCTTGTCCTGCCAGATGTGCTTTTGCTAGTACCTCAGTGTCTTGGATCTTGTCCTACCAGATCTGCTTGTGCGAGTAACCCAGTGTCTTGGATCTTGTCCTACCAGATCTGCTTGTGCGAGTACCTCAGTATCTTGGATCTTGTCCTACCAGATCTGCTTGTGCGAGTACCCCAGTGTCTTGGATCTTGTCCTACCAGATCTGCTTGTGCGAGTACCCCAGTGTCTTGGATCTTGTCCTACCAGATAAGTACCTCAGTATCTTGGATCTTGTCCTACCAGATCTGCTTGTGCGAGTACCCCAGTGTCTTGGATCTTGTCCTACCAGATCTGCTTGTGCGAGTACCCCAGTGTCTTGGATCTTGTCCTACCAGATCTGCTTGTGCGAGTACCTCAGTGTCTTGGATCTTGTCCTACCAGATCTGCTTGTGCGAGTACCCCAGTGTCTTGGATCTTGTCCTACCAGATCTGCTTGTGCGAGTAACCCAGTGTCTTGGATCTTGTCCTACCAGATCTGCTTGTGCGAGTACCCCAGTGTCTTGGATCTTGTCCTGCCAGATCTGCTTTTTCGAGTACCTCAGTTTCTTGGATCTTTTTCTGCCAGACCTGCTTGTGCGAGCACCTCAGTGTCTTGGAGCTTGTCCTGCCATTTGATATTGAGGATTTTTTGGAGGCTCATCGTGTGAAAGGGGTTAAGTGTCCTTGCAGAAAGTTTTTGGGCAAGGACGCAACCTTGTTTGATACCATTACACGCAGGAAATGGTGAAAAATCTCCCCTTTTCTCAGACCCTGCCTAGCCGGCACACACACAATCGTTGCATTGCCGCACCAATGAAATGAATTTTGTGAGGCATCCATTTTGGACTATGATCTTCCTGGAAATTAAATACTGATTTGTTAAATAGGAGTTATGAAGACGGTGTTTTCCTTACAGTAGCTTCTTAATTACGTCACAGTTTTCATTGAACCATTCCTTATGGTTTTTGTAGCGTCGACCCAGAAGCCCTAGAGCGTTATTTTATGACATTGCCTTCAGTGATCCCAAGTGATTCAACGCTGTGATGATCAAGAGATGCAGATGGCAGACGTTCTTCCAGAGCATCCACAAATGTTTCCTTAATAGTCTCGCTCTTCAACTTTGTCGTGTTCAGACGTTTTTGGTGATCTTCTTCCCTTACGTTCTTCTTTTGGGTTGTACATGAAGGCTGAGCTTGGGGATAATAGGCCTATGATATTTCCATTCAGTCTGCACCACATACAGACTTGGTTACTCTCACGTCCCGACGGTCCTTTCTCCTTATGATACCATAAGCAATGAGATGCCAATGTTATGAGCGAGGGTACATCCAAGATGTCCGATTTCCCTAGAGGAAACCGTTACTGTTGCAATGCCCCCCTCCATGCTTTCCCAAATACTCCATCCATAAAATTTTTATATATTAGGACCATTTCAACGGGCTTAAGATAAAACAGAAACATAGCAGTTACATAATATTTCAAATTTTTTAGTAAATTACATTCTTTGAATTTTATATTTCCCGAATATTTTAAGTTGGATAATCTGGGGTTTATGCATCATTTTGGTTCAGATCTACAGCAATCAGAAATAGGTATCAAAATTCTCCAAAATATATGTGTAGATATATAAATCAGTTTGACGGGTTAAAACACACATAGATGATTTAGGGATAATTACATTTTTTTGCTGAAGAACTAAGTTTTAACACTGACTTGTTTAATAGATACATTATTTGGAGAAACGTTGCAAACAGAAAGAAAGATTAAAAATGTTCCGTGAAATTAGTATCCATACCAAAGAAATTCACGCAACATATTTGATTGATAGTTTGAATAAGAAAACATTAAATGAAAAGATTTGACTTTAACACACAAAAAACGACACAAAAATGGGGCAGTTCATTTACCGACTTTCTAATTGTTCTCTTCCCATAGTTCAACTACTAAAAAGTAAAATATGACCAGCACAGACTCCCTCATCTCGACACAACCATTTTTAGTCATTGACAAACCACTTATCAGTGATGAGACTATACTATACTTTAGATATGTGTTCCTTTACTTCAGCGGCCCAGCAATACTTGTATTCGGACTAGGCTCCAACATCTTCAACATGATCGTCTTCACCAGAATGGGACTCAAAGACAGCGTCACCTTATCTCTGTTTTCACTCGCGATTTCCGACTTCTGTTTTCTATCCATCAGCGCGATGATACGGTCTGCTCTGATCGTCTTACTATTCCCCGAGGTAGCCCCGCAGAGTATAAGCCTTTTTGATGTCGCCTACGCCAGTTACTGGTACAGTACCGTGTTCTTCGACACGTCCATGTTGATTCGGGTCTACACCGCCGTGACTCGTGCGTGCTGTGTGGCCATTCCGTTAACTTTTAAAAACACGTTCACTAAAACAGTCACTTTGTACGTGATGTGTGCTGTGTTTTCTGTATCAATTGCGACTCGAATGCCCCTTCTGGCCTGTCAGGACTTTCAGAGCGTCTTCGATAGAAAAACGAACACCACGAGAATTGTGCTTTACTTCACGCCCCTGCGACCAGCGGCCCTCGCAGTTAACGACATTTTCAGCAAAAACATCATCACGTGGGGATCCATCGGCCTCGTTCTCACTTCCCTCTTTGTTTTAAAGTTTAAGCTCGTCTCTGCGGCTAAATTTAGGCACGGAATGAAATCTGGACACGCGACATCAGAGCCGAATTCGCGGGACAAACCAAGTCAACCAATAATCATACAGCAGCGTGAAAGAAAGCCACAAAGCAAAGTCTCGTCATTACCAACAAATGAGAAGTCACGCAGTTTCCTCGTCGGTAAAGATGTCCAGGTGTTGAAGGTGGTGATACTCGTGTCCGTCATCTTCATCGTCTGCACGTTCCCGCAGGTTGTGCCGAGTGTGGTCAGGCGACTGGTCCCCGAGTTTAACGTGGGCGGCCGTTACGGGATTGTCTTCGAGGTCGTTTCCATCGTGTTCGATAACGCATCCTTCCTGAACTCAAGTCTCAACGTGTTTGTCTATTACAGTTTCAATACTAACTTCCGGCACGTCGCCAGGAGACTTTTCAACATGTCCATGGCAGGTAAAAACTGATTTTAAACAATGCGAACGTATATAAACACATCGCGGGATGCATACTTGAAAACTCAGATTGAACATTTTCAGAGCTTTGTGTTTTTTGTCCAAAGAAGGCATAGAAATATAAAACGTGAATAATTTGCGTACGCGTATTAAGGCACACCAAATATTCTCTAGCCAGAATGTAGCTGCTAGAATTCATAACATTATTGTTTCAACTTTCTTGCACCAGCAAATATTAGATTATAAGTTTCGATTTTATCAAAATTTGAGATTTATTTTGTTTGATATAAGATAAGATGCGTTATTATTGATATCAATTTGTTTGAATATCTGCAATATAATAAATATCCCCATCACAACACTGCCGAAAATACCAACTTAAGTAAAATAATCAGGCCAGGTGTTAGCCAAACCATCAGTTTATATAAAATTATTTTCTTATAGAAAAAGATTACAGGCAAACGGAATTTATTTCATAAAATCGTTTTTTGTTTTGTTTTTGTGTCATAGTAGGATGTTATTTATGTGTTAAATCATAGATCTTAACTTTAAAACTAAACTTTATGATATATTGCTTGAATTTTATCTTACTTGGCTTCTCTGTAATACTCTAGAGATTAAAGCAAAATATAATATCATTTCCATAACCCTTGAGTTTTGTTTACTTTACATGTTTGCATTTGTTTCACTCTTGCTCAAGAATTTGTTGTGTGACTATCTGAATGAAATTTATAACGGTTACACAACGTAACCCTTTAAACAGAGATAACAAGTGACCGTGGAGTTTTGACAACTGTATCCATAGACTTGCTTTAAAAAAAAATGTGTGTTATATTGTCCGAAAAGAGTCATTAGTTGAGACATCAAATATGTTTTTATACATTTCAAAACAACAACCCCCCCCTGCCCCCCAAACACACACACACACACACATAAGTCCAGAAAAATCCGGGGCTTGGCGGTAGCTCCAGGAAATAAAATGCTACTATTAATAATAACGTGTAAGATATAATCTAGTTACAGGAAATAAAATGCTACTATTAAAAATAACGTGTAAGATATAAACTAGTTATATGGGCAACGAATCTATAAAGAATCCCCCCCCCCCCGGGCCGAGTTAAAAAGGTTCGCCACTGCAACAGCTGATTCATTACATCTTTAAATCCTTTATTTTAATTTTACTTTTGTTTGTAGATGGCTGGGTGGCTAGCTGGCGAAACATTCTTTCATCGACCCACTTCCCGTCAACCTATCGAGCTGAAACTTGGCACAAAGACTTGGCCAATGACAACACATTCTTTCTAATTTTCACCCCCCACCGCCAAACCCGAAACTCACAAAAGTACGTTTTTCCTGTTTTTTCAAGCGGAATATGAAGGAAATATGATACACCCGATCAGGGTTTGTTTCAGTCATCTCTCTGGGGGGGGGGGGGGGGGAGGGGCCATCCCCCCCCCCCCCCCCCCGGGGCAAGTCAAGTGCCACGCCGGAGCAAAATGAGCATAACACTAAAAAGGAATGTTATTCTTTTCGGTAAAACGATACCGATATATGCTCTCAACTTTTCTACACAACATGGTCAGATGACCTATTATTAGATTATTAGTGGCAGATTATTAGTGGCAGATGAAGTCTATTGTTAGAACTGTCGTTCAGTTTCATATCTCAGATTGGTACTAGTACTAGCAGCCGTGAAGCGGTAAGTAGTTCCTAACGTCTGCATTATTATTGAGCGATTGCTATGAATGCCATCTGTACCTACGCAAACGTGTTCAGTGTTTACACAGCAGTGTCAATCATAGCAGACTACGCGACTGTGATTTCTGATTCCATTCCATGTCTCTCAATCGCTCTTTCCATTCCCAACAACACCCCACCAACTTTATTTCGGTCTCCATTGTTTATATACATCAGCTGACCGACCTAGCGATTGCTATAGTAAACTGACATGCAAAGCGAATTACCTAAATTTTTAATACTTCTATACTATATTGCATTTGCATGTTGTTGCTTTTTTTAATAATAATAATAATATTAAAACATCTCATTTACAAAATAAATATAAAAAATAATAATAATAAGTAATGATGAAGTAATTCCATTAACGTTTTGTAATATTCAACAACCGGTTATTTGTTTCAAAAGCAAAAACATGGAATTGTTGCGCCTAGTCCGATGAAATGGACGTTTAATCAATTGATGTTCAATCATAAACGTTCTTATTGTTTTGACCAGAGAAGGATCATTTGGTTAGAGAGCATGCCGTTAGATATCGTAGTATTAGAGTACATAAAAACAAGCACGAAGAGTCAGTGTGTGCTGTAATATGTGGTGTATTTAATCGCTATAATATGTCCATACAGGTGTTACGACACCAGAAAATTGATAATTATCATGTGGATACTAATCCCCTTGATCCACAACTGTACTGTCGAAGGTAGAGTTTGCTATTTGTATTAAATTTCTAGTTATGCATTGGTGTTTTTTTTGTTGTTTTTTTTTGGGGGGGGGGGGAAGATAGTTAGAATGCATTGGTATGGGGGGGGGGTGAGAAAGTTATATAGTCGAGTGCGCTTTGTTTTCTTACTGTTAAATGTCCAACCAGGCAAGTTTGGGAAGGAGAAAGCAAAAGGGAACCTCAAATTTAGTGTTGGATAGGGAATAAAAAAAATCAGGGGCAATGTTCAATTATGACTTGTATGACTTTAAATCTTTAGATCGAACTAATCAAAGGTATAACTTGATGGGATATCAACTGAGTTGAAAAGGACATATGATTGGATCTTTTAACTGTAGACTTGTAAAAAAAAATCAGATTAGAGATTTGAAACCAAATGTTATTCTATTGTTTAGGGATTTTGATATTTGCTGGTCAACACTAAATAATGATGATGAACAATGATTTGAAAGAAGAATACATATCATCATCTGCATGTTAAAAATTAGAACAAATGGGGAAAAAGTGCGTACATTTACATGTTTAAAGGTGTTTTTTTTCTCGGTGTTGGGGGGAGGTTGGTGATGCACTCTCTTCACTCCTCTGTCATATGGCATTTTCTCTAAGTGTCCTGCCCTGCGTAGCCTGCCCTTTGTGATTTATATTTTCGTGAATCCTGACATAGTCTGTACAATTCCTCGTTGGTTCGTATTCTCCATCCATATTCATCCTTTGTTGACCCATATATTTTCCTGAGAACTTTCCTCTCCCATGTGTTTAATAACTTTTCTGACGTTTTTGTTGACTTTTATTGCCATTTGCTTCGCGGCCGCTACGATACTTTCCCCAGTTGTGTCACGCATGTCTTGTCATTTCTGTTGACATACATCAACAGCAGCCATTGCCACCATGTAGTCACAATTTTTTTTAGAGGATTCAAAATCTCAAAATTATGTAAGTGAAACATTAGCGTTAGCAATGTTTCGAAAGACAAGAAGAATAAATTCAGTCCGTTCGCTTCTGCTCTTACTGCAGCATCAAAATCTTCATTGTTGTGACATATGCTGTCCAGTGTACTCAACACTACGGGGTGAAGTTGTATAACTCTTTTGGTTGCATTATGAACAGACAAAAATCGTATGGGATGAGTTTCTGCCAACTCCAGCTGATGGAGTTCTTCATCACTTTGCCTTTTGAATTCATTAAACACTTGATGACGTTTTCGGGCATTTCCCTACAAAAATGTCCGTATCTTCCGCAACATTCCAGGTTTGTTATCTGTTCCATATATATTGACCGCCTGAACAGAAGAACGACAACAGTACTTCATTACCAGGTTGGATCCATGTCCTGCCCAATTAGACACCAATCGACATTGGTGCATATTCTTTCATACGTGTCATAACTAGAGACCGACCGAAAGTGATTTTCTGATTTCGGCCGAAGCCGAAAATAGGCCGAAAGTTTAAAATGACTTACGGCCGAAACCGAAAAAAGGCCGAAATTTTAAAAATGACTTTCGGCCGAAACCGAAAAAAGGCCGAAGATTAAAAATGAATTTCGGCCGAAACCGAAGCCGAAACCGAAAATGAAATATTAAGATATTTTGAAATTCGTTCCCGCATACATTCTGCATACATCGAAAATGATGTGGGAAAGTATAAATATTTACATTCTTTTATAACAAAAATTAGATAATCGTAAATATTAATAAATAAACATCTAATATAGGGGTCTCAAACTCGCGGCCCGCGAGCCATATGTGACCCGCAAG